GACAGTCTCCGCCGAGCCCGCGGGGACCGGCGTCCGGGCGCCAAGATGTGGCTTTGGCTCTGGCTGCTCCTCGCCGCGCAGCGGGAAGGTAAGGGGGGGACGCTGGGGGTGCGGGGCCTCGGCGGGTGGTCTGCGCCGCACCCAGCCCGAGCCTCGTCCTGGGAGTTAGGAAAGGCCCCCCGCAGGGCGCAGCGTCCAGAGTCCCGAGTCGGGGCTGCGGTCCCCGGAGGCAGCGCGCAAGCACCCTCCCTGAGTGTGAAAGGAAAGCCCTCCAGGGGTCTGGGGAGCCCCTGGGCTGAGGGCACCTCTGCCCAAAAGCCTGGGACTAGGAGAAGGGGAGACAGGAGGAGAGGAGGGCAGGGAGGGAGGGAAGGAGGAGAGCTGGGGTAAGGAAGGAGATAGGAAGAAAGAAAAGAGGGAGGAGGTCCAGGGAGGAAGGGAAAATGCTCCCGCTCAGGGCCAAGGCAGGGATGCGCTCCCAGGAGGGTGCCAGAGGCCCAGACCTGGTTTGGGTGTCCTACACTCGGCCCAGGGTTCTGCAGACACATTTTTATCACTTCCGGGCAATACAGTCTGTATTGTAATACAGTCTGCCAAATACCAGGCCCTTGCCAGTTTTCAGGCAAGTATGACCTGGCATTCCCTCGGGGTCCCCTGCTTCCCCAGCATTCACTGGGGGTGGGGGTGCAGTGTGAATCCAGCCACAGGCAGTGTTGGAGCTGGGATTCGGGAAGTGGAACCAGCGGGGAGTCTCCGCTGTCCCTCTGGCTAAGCCCAGTCAGACCACCTTTTAGAAGAAGCTCTTCCGCCTCCCAGACTGTCCACTAACCTGTGGTCAATTTGCTCTCTTGCCCAAAAGCCCAAAGCTGGACACCCCGCCAGGGGTCACAAGGCCTGCCAGCCTGGGCTCTGACCCAGTGAGCTCAGAAGCTCATCCAGGCCATTCAAAGCTACTCAAGTTATTGCTGATCACTTAGAAACAGCAGGTCCCTCTGAGAACAGAGTCACTGGGTTTCTGAGAGGCTGAACCACACCTGTGGCAAGGCCTGGCTAGGTGTTGGGCACATAGGTGGGGTTCGGCCATGGCTGGCTGTTCAGTCCCCTGGGGACTGAACCAGAGAAGTGGTCACCAGAGAAAGACCAGGGTGTGTCGCAGCCAGGAAGTCTTCATGACAGGATGCAGGAGGGGGAAGGGACACAAACGGCCTGGTGTCCCTTCATACCTCTTCACCCTTGAATCACTTATGGACTTTTTTGGAAGGTCTTCGAGAGTCTACGTATTTGTGGCCCCACTATGTGCACATGACCAGGATCCTGGAACGACGGGTTTTCTTGATTCAGCGAGTGCCTCAGAGCTCAGGTTCTGGGGTTGCAGACCTGGTTTTGAATCTGAATCCACCACATACAGGCTGTGTGACCTTGAGCATGTCTTTAACCTTCCTGAGCCTCCATTTCCTCATGTATAAAATGGGTGTGAAACAGGATTTGGTGAGAATTCAATGAAATCGTTCCTGCACTATGTTTGGCATGGTTTAGTAAATATTGGCATTTTCGATTCTTGTTATCTCCCCCAAGGGGTCAGCAACCCAAAACAGTAAAGAACCTCTACTCTGCCGAAAAGGCAGTACGGTATTTGGGGAGAAAAGCAAAGGCCCAGCAGCCATTTGGGCCCCAGGTACTGTTTCATTCTCGATACAAGCGGGAGCTCAGAGCGGCCTGTGAGTGGAGTCAGAAAGTTTAAGCGCATTTCATCAGTATTAGCAAAGGCCGCTATGGGGCCGTGGAGCCTGAGAACAAGTGTAGGTAGGATTGTGAATATGGGCCACTACCTCCTAAGCCAGCTCCTCCTGGGTACACACACACACACACACACACACACACACACACACACCCCAGTCTCTGGCCTCTTCTGCTCACCCAGGTCTGTGCCTCACCGCTCCTGGGCCTCTGCCCTGGCCGGCCCGCTCCCCTCCGCCCGACAGCTAAAATGAAAGGCTCGCTAAATCAGAATCAGTTCGTTGGACTTTGCTGCAAAAAAACCATTTTAACGCTTTTCCTTAAGATTTCATTTGCTGCTAGTAACACCCCCTGGACACATGCACAATGACTTACCCATGTGCAGTCCCTTACAGTTTACTTTCTGGGACATTCTAACCCTCAGAGGCAGTCAAGTCAACAGCCTTAAGCTGCTCACTTTTTAAAGAGAAGAGATGGGCTCCATGACTTGCCTGAGATTCCACAACTGGTGCGGGGCAGAGGCTGGGTTCAAGGCCAGGTCTGTGAGTTCTGCTCATTTTCTGTGAACTATCCCCCCTACTTACAGTGCTTCCTGTCCGAGACTAAAATGAACTCCCAGCCCTGCTTCTGGGTGTCTGTCCTTCCACTCAGGAAGGGGATCCAGTGGCTTATCAATTCTGGGATAGGGAGTGATGGTCATTAATTGTGCCTACCAGGGGACGGTGAGTTCCTCTTGCTGGTTGTCATCCATGACTAGAAACTGTGGCTGGCCCTCTTTTAGGCTGGCCAGCCCAGTCTTGTGTGGCCTATGATTCTGAGCTCCTCTCCCAGCTTGCCTGGGTCTCCTTCAGCTGCTTGGAGTCTGCTGAAGGTCTATACATTGGATTGCAACAGGGCAAGGTGAAAGGCTTTGACCTCAAACTTTGAGTCTTTGAGGGTTATTTTGTTTGTTTAAATCCTCACCAGAGGATATGTTTAGAGAGAGGAAGGGAGAGCGAGTGCGAGAGAGAAACACCAATGTGAGAGAAACATCGATCGGTTGCCTCCCATACGCACCCCGACAGTGGACCGAACCCGCAGAGTAGGTATGTACCATGACTGGGAATCAAACCCGCAACCTTTTGGTGCAAGGGATGATGCTCTGACCACCTGAGCCACCCAGCCAGGGCGAATCTTTGAGTTTGAATCCCAGGTCACTAACTAGCTGTAAGTGGGATTTTGAACAAGTAACTTCATGCCTCGGTTTCCTCATCTGTGTAATGGAAATAAAAATCCCGAAGTAAGTTTGAGTCTTGATTGAAATAGTTATGCAAAGAGCCAGGCTTATAAGTGCACAGTCAACAAATGGCAGCTCTCTCCTTTGTAAAGCTGGACAGAGTGAACACCGGCCCTGCTGATGGTCTCCTGGGCGGTGTGGTGCTTGAGCTCTTGAGTCCAGGAACCACCTGCATTTACAACAGCCTCTGGACCCTGCAACTGGGCAGGTTCTCCATGGCTTTTCCTTTGGTATTTGATTTGGGGTGGCTCTGAGGCTCCACCACTGTGGCCAGGAAAATGTGCTGATGGTCGCTGCTCCTTCTGCTTCTCGTAGCTCTCCAGGGCATCTCTGCATTCCAGCCGACCTCCGAGGACCGAACGGTTCAGACCAACACAAACGTGCTGCTATCCTGTGAAGCCAGAACCATCACCGCTAACATGCCCATCTACTGGCTGAGATGGCGCCGGGACCTAAGTATGGACAGTCACTATGAGTTCCTGGCCTGCTGGGATCCTACAAAACTTACGACTGTGTATGGCAAGGATATGGAGCAGAAGCTAAATGTGAGTCAGCGGGCAACCCAGTCCGCTGTCACTCTCAGAAGAGTGAAGCCTGCGGACAGTGGTGTCTACCTCTGCATGACCGTCGGGACCCCTGAGCTGTCCTTCTGGAAGAGAATTCAGCTGAGTGTGGGTAAGACCCTGGCTCAGTGTTATCAATAGCATTGAGCACCTACTGTGTGCCAGGCACATGCCAGGCACAGGGGCTGCTTCCACCTGCAGCAAGCCCAACTCTACAGGAGTAATGATGGCCCTGAGCAATAGCACTATGGCTAATAGTCACAGAAAATATATTCCTAGACTTACCCAGGGCCTAGCCCATGCATATGTTTTTCGTAGTTATCTCACTGAATGCTGCCAACCATCCTGGGAGGCAGGTACTATAGTGATTCCCATTGAAAATGGGATGCTTAGAGCCCAGCCAGGCATGGTTCAGTGGCTGAGCATCGACCTAGGATCCAGGAGATCATGGTTTGATTCCCAGTCAGGGCACATGCCCAGGTTTCGGGCTCGATCCCCAGAAGGGGACGTGCAGGAGGCAGCCGATCAATGACTCTCTCTCATCATTGATGTTTCTATCTCTCTCTCTTCCTCTCCCTTCCTCTCTCTGAAATCAATAAAGATATATAAAGAAGAAAGAAAGAAAGAAAGAAAGAAAGAAAGAAAGAAAGAAAGAAAGAAAGAAAGAAAGAAAGAAAGAAAGAAAGCTTAGAAGCATTGTTACTTTTTATAGGGACAGAACAGCACTGTCCTTCAGTCACATCAGGCCCACCTGAGGCTTTGGCTGGACAGGTGCCCCTCATATTCTGCATGTGGGCCTGTGGCTCGAACCCACACCCAGAGTTGCAGGGAATGAGGAAACTGGACCCGAAGCCCAGCTGCAAATTCTGCTGCAAATTTACTGTGTGCCTTTGGGCGGGTCACTCCTCTCCCCTCACTGAGCCTCAATTTTCTCATCTGTATCATGGGATTGCTGATGGACTCCACGACCCACTCTACCTTAGAAGCTACCATTCCACATCCAGTAGAAACATATTGTGAGCCACAGATGTAATTTAAAATTTTCTGATAGCCACATTTAAAAAAGTAAAAAGAAACACATGAAAGTAATTTAAATGATATATTTTATTTAACCCAGTTTATCAACAATCATTTCCAAATGTAATCCAGGTAAAATTATTACTGAAATATTTTATATTCCCCTTTCCTACTAAGCATTCCACGTGTGTTTTACATGCAGAGCCAATCTCAGGTCAGACTGGCCATGTACATGTGGCAGGTGGCTGCCATATTGGACAGTGACGATTGGAGCCATCAAATGTGCAAAGGAGTCAGGGACAGAAATTCTCAAAGGCCCACATCTGACTTTAGCCCCTCCACAGGTTAGCCCATGGCCATGCCAAGCCCCTGAAAGCCTCCCACCGTCCTGCTTCCCACTCACCTGGGTTCTTCTCACACTGGGGGGGGGGG